AGCATTGTAGTACTGTTTCATCCTTCTTATCGGATGCATCCCTCTATATCCCTCTACACGTGTCCATTTTCATCGCTGAAAATGTTTACAATTCTGAAGATTTAAGACCAATCAACTGGACGCCATACGATAGCTCAGATATTTTTCTCTGCTATAATTTTACCTACCCATACCGGGAAAATTATGAAAGCATTTCTCACTATGCACTGTTCGACTTTTGAGAAGTCCTTCCAAAGTATTTGAGAACTTTGTAAACAGCAAAAAATTCTAGTATAATGTATTAAAAACCTCATTTTTTTTCGGATGCATATTACATATGTTCACTGCATAATATAGCGTTAAACTTAGTATTTTGAACACCAATCAAGATTTGTTATATCCTAAAAGTTAGCAAAAGGTTACTCTATGCCGATCCCGATCGTCTCGTCTATCTCGATGTCGATCTGAATGACGGTCGTAGCGTCGATCATCATCTCGCCGTGTACGTGGGGAACGATGTCGATGCCTGTAATTATATCATTACTAGAACGGTTATTTTGATCTTTATCTAATATGATTTCGCCGTATTTTGTTATTTTAGACCTTACAAAGAAAGTTTAGTACCCAGTATATCGTGCCTTTCGAAAAAAAGAAATGCATACTGTAACGGAAAAATGGAACATTTTAAATTAAAGGCAGACATACCCACGATCTCTGTCATCCCGTCTTCGATCTCGATCCTTATCTCTATCTCTCTCCCTGTCACGATCCCTCTCTCTTTCTCGATCTCTTTCATTCCGTCGTTCCCTGTCATCTCGTTCTTTCCTCTCACGATCTTTCCTTTCCTTGTCTTCACGCTCTATCTTTCCCTAAATTAGTGATAAATTACAGAAAAATTTAGCACTAACAAAATTTGCATAGTAATATAATTATAATATTAGCTGATCTTAGAAGTTAAAACTAATTTTTTCAAATAGATCGTAATGGAGTTAGAAACACAAATAGGGTATCATCACAGAACCCAATTCTACATAAATACAAGCAGGAAAAATGAAGACATTAACCACCACTATTCCTACCAATCATTTCAGATAATTTCCTGCAAAATTTCCTTTTGTGGCAAACCTTTCGTTTTTCTTCCCGTTTTCGATCCATTTCTTCGATTGTCGCCCGAATCCTTGCATATGCCATATGCTGTTTACCGGCATAATGATCATCTATTCGTTGTTGCACATCATTTACAAGCATAAAACATCCACAAACCTTGAATAAATTTTATTTTCAAAATAAATTTTGTAAAATCTTACTTTCTGCATATTAGACAGAGTGATACCACTTCTATTTCTCTCTTACTGTTCTTAATAAATTTCTCGAAAAAATTAATCCCTCCAACTTAAACATTATGACCGTAGAAAGATACGGCATCAAATGTCAAACGTAAAATAGCATTTACAAAACAGCGGAAACAACCTGGCAAACTTCCATTGGTTTTGAAAGCTGATTAGCGAGATCTTCAATATGGCTTGTAGGATTCGCCGACTGTGCCAGCAAACGATCCAAAGCTGCACGCTCTTGCTTGAATTTATCTGCTTGTCGCACTTGCTCTTTCGCTTCATCCACTTTACCCAGTGCCCCCAAGGCTTCGGCCTTTAATATTAAAAACAAACCAGTTAGTACGTTTACTATAATGTTAAGTGGTAGCATTAGCAGTGAAGCGAACGCGTTAACACAATAAAAATGATATGATGGGAAACCTGAGGTATACACGATTTGGCGTTTTGGCTCCAAAGCACGGAATTTGCTCACAAGTGTAGGAAGCCTAAAGAAAAAATTCCTTTTTAAAGGCATTTTAAACGCTTTTTCGCACCTAGAAGACCTCCAGTATGCAGGAAACAGCAAAAATGGACTTCCACCAGTGAGATGATCGATTAGAGGAAAGCTATGCGAGCAAACTGGTATTTAATTTTTGTAAAAAGAGGCAAAGAACGAAAAAAAAATGGAAGAAAATGATGGTTGTAAGGAAAAGAATCTACCATTCAAAAATCAGAGAATAAATTTGCAAGTTTCATGCAAAGACACTTTTAAAAGAACCGAGCAATTTATTGACTAATACGAAATAATGAATGTATGGATAGAGCAAACATGAAGAATAACAAATGGCAGCCGTTTTCGATATAAAATTCTAAACAAATTTTTAGAAAAAAGAGATTTTGAAATAAACCATTGAATGTATCATTGTTGTTCATGATTATGAATGATTAAGTGTTAGCGGAAAAATATCGATATGAAAAGTTAAGCCTGATTTTGATATATAGAGCTACTTTTACACTTTTACTGCGTCAACGGCTGCCGATAGAGAGGACGGAAAAAATTACTTTTTCCATACAGTCGTTGATTTTGGCAGACAAATTGGATTGTTGCTCAGAAATAAGTTCCTTTTGCCTGCGTTGTGCATCTGTTTCACCCTCACCGCCTTCTTTTGAAGCATCTATAACAGATAATTCGAAATATTGTCCCTTTAAAATTCACATTTTAAAACTTGTCGCAAATTTTTAAGCTGCAAATTTTACGAAAACAACCTTTGATAACTGGTTGTGTCATAGCAAGACGACGTTCATTCTTTTCAATTTTTCGACGTACTTCATCGTCCAGACGACGGATTTTATTCAAAAACTCTTCCTCATACCCTAATTTCTCGAAACGACTGCTTTCACGATATTTTAGTCGTAGAGCTGGATCATGAATCTATAAACGAAGATACTGGTAGTATTGATGTTCGGATTTTTTTTTTTTTTGAATTGTAGAATGTTCAATGCTTTATTGATTTAGAATAACCTTTGGACAGAAACCGAGATCAGCTTTCGTATTCCTGAACATTTCATTTGGACAGAATGCAACTAAAAAATTCTTGCACACATCAGGTTCGTCGAAATCCGGCTCATCCGTATCACCAATATCTGCATTTCGTTTTACACCCATCAGTTCGTTTAGCATTTGCGCCATTTGCTCTGTGGCCGACATCTTGCTTGCAAGACTATAACAGTAACATAATTCAAATCTAGTTTATATGCGAAGTCTTGGTCAAACACAAGAAATTTTTATGCCTCTTGTCAATAAACCTTTAACCCACTAATATGTCTTCGTACATAAATCATCTTATCGATTATCTTCACTTACGAGCAATCGAAAACTAAAAACATGGAATTTCTTGACAATCAGGAATCCATTTCACAATATTTCTTTTACGAATACCATAGAAGCTTACGTACTTCAGATCATTAGTCAATGCGGATAGCAAATCAGAAATGTAGTAAAATACATTACCATCTTATAATAAAAAAGAAGAAATGACCATGTAATTCATACGGTTCACAGTATTTACACGATTCTTTTTAAGATACTACATTATCCATATTACATATGTAGATAGTTGCATTACCGACATCCTTCACAGAATGCTACTACATTTCACGGAGAATTTGATACAGAAAAATTTATTCACATCTTTTTCATTCTTCTCCTCTTTCCTGAACTCGGCAAGCATACAAAAAATAATAAAAAAGAGGAGAAAACAAACAAACACACACAAATCTACAGTTTCATTTAAATTTAATTTAAAAACGAAATAGCAATAAACCTTACATTCATTACAATATTCTTACTTGCCTCCTACATCCATAACAATCATCTACTGATGGATGAATGAAGATGAGCTTACATTAATCAAATAGAAAAAAACTGAAATTCCAAAAATATTTCATAATTCAACCATGTAGGAAGAAGCAATCAACAAACTTTATAACAAGGGAAAAATGAGAGAGGAAGAGAGAGAGAGAGAGGGAATTTTCAACAAAATTGCTTCCTAATTATATTTCTATATACAATTAAAACAACTACCAAGCATTTTTTTAAAAATAGCAGTCTGTTAGAATCTTCTTATTCATTCATGCTTTTTACCACTATCTAAATATAAGCTTAATAACCATTCAGGCTATTAAAATCTACGTATAGGAATAAAACAACATACTGATCGATTCCAGTTAATGCCCGACTGTAAAGGAATGACTCCAATATTATAAAAAGCTAATTACAAAACATATCTCATCGCAAAATTTTAAAGACAACAATAAGAAACTGGAGAAAAATAAAAATTTACAAAACAGCAAAGTTGAAATTTACAATCATTAACAGATAGATTAAATAAATAATATACAAACGATAAAGTTTACCGTTCACCGTTCTGAATCATGAGGATGATTACTTTGTAAGCAAAGACGATAGCGATATTTAGAATACCTGCTTGCGGAGTGTAATTATGTATAAAGTTTACAATATGTACACCGAATAATAACAGAAGCAAATCATATATGAACAATAAAGTTAATACAAATTTTATATTACAACTGATGATCCGTCGATTACTATATATGTGCTACTACTACCAACACAAAGTGGATTTATCCCATTTTCATCAACCATTGTCTAAATCAAATGAATTTCGAAAAGCTCAGGAAGAGAAAACTCTTACTTAATTCTCATTCAAGCAACTGTTTAAGCTTCCTTACTTATCTAATTATTTCGATATTTTCAAAGTGTCATCATCACCATAAAGTAAATAAATAAGTTTTCTTTTTTTTTTAGATCATCAAATCGTTAATTTCAAAACCGTTGTAGAAGGAGAACTGCAGTTTAGCATTGTGCTAACAAATTACAGCTGATGTTTTAGAAAGTGTCATCATCAGCAGCAAAAACAACAGATATCAACACAGATCAAATTAAATTTACATTTTTCTAACGCAAATTTATACAGCATTAAATGCTGAATTAAATATTTATATATAAATATGTTAGGGATATGAGGTATTATAATTTGCAAGCTGACAGCGACACTTTTTAGATGATTTAGAAAAAACAAAGATTAAATTCAACCACCACTCTACGCCATCTAACTCGACCACTGCAATATAAACAATAAATAGGGAAGAAAACTGTATACAATATATCCATATAGAAGCGAATCATCATGATAGCGGTAAAGTGCTATGCGTAGGAGTTTGATTTGATAAGGGAGTTATATTATCTTGAATTACTTTTTCTGTATCGAGAGTTGGAAGGTATCGAACATTTGGAGGTGCAGAACAAGCTTGTGCATATTCGTCCATTGAAGCATGGAAGCCATTAGAACCCAATGAACCATCTTTGATAAGTAGTGCTGCAGGTGCTACTCCACAATCTTGTGTATATGCCGGTACTGGAACATCTGAAAATAATACATCACACATGCTATAACTAATTATTTAAATATCTTGCAATAATTGCTGTCTGGAAAATTATTACTTAAATACATTTGGCATGAAAATAAAAAGCTGAGAAACCAGAACAGCAGAAAACTTTTGTCATAAAAAACCACAAAAACCAGTCACAAAAATGATCAATACGCTATAACTGTTATATAACTCGATTTTTAGGTAACAAATAGCAAGACAATTGGAAACTCAAAGCTAAAATAAAAAACTAACTTTGCAAATTTTTTGGTTGTAGGGAACTCTCAAATTTTAGATTAGTGGCATAAGACATGAATAATGTATTGGCACGTTCGTATGCACAGCCAGAAGTGATACGACCATCCGGTTCCATATCCCACATATCTTCAGCAGTCTTCCATAAAACACCACCAATCTAAAATTGCACGAATAAAATCACCAAAACATTTTAATCTTGGATGACCAAAATTAAGGTGAAGTTGGAAAAGCACAGATGGAAAGAAATTATATAGAGAGAATAGAATACCTGTTTTGTTAGATTTATCAATAAAATTCAAAAAACAAACGTTATGTTCCATGACTGCAGCACGAATACTTGGTCGTTTTTTCTCCACAGCAACAACTCGTCGCATATCATGCAATGTTGGCTGCACTCCAGCTTCTGCTTCATACGGTCGTTCATATTCTCCAACTATGTCATCTAAAATATTATCAAAGGATCAAGCATGTACAATGATGATGTGACATACAAGAAACTCTGTGCAATTTATTTCAAACAGAAGAATTTTAGAAACAAAAGAAGCCAATAGAATTGTCAGGTGCACGATGCAGTGGTTTTTTAAATGTAATGACTAAATATTACGGAAATATACACCAGCTAATAATAAACAAAATCAATTTCATTAATTCAGTCACATGACACAAATGTTCGAAAATAATTATTAGTAGAAATCAAATACCAACAAAGGCTTGAATATCTGATAGTTTTTCTTTTCACATTTTAAAGTTCAATCAGTGGTTTTAAACAAGAGCGACATAGCATAAATCTTTTCAAGCTTACCTTTATCCATTGATGTTCGCGATAAAATTTCCCATAAAACGAGAGCAGCAGCATACACATCGATCTGACGGAAAGCAAACGCTGTAAATTCGGTAGCACCTTCTAATACTTCCGGTGACATGTAACGTCGCGTTCCTACCTGCAAATTCAATAGCCAAAAGTTTCTATTTCACAAAGATATCAGTGAATCTATAAGCTAAGGAAAGAAAAACCATTACAAAATCAGTTTGCAAAACAGATCATTTATAATAATATTGCTCACTTGTCCATGATTCTCATCTGATGGCATTTGACCGTTTTCACACTTTAACGCTAGACCAAAATCAGCGATTACCGAAGTTAAGTCAAACTTCAAAAGTACATTTCGCGATTTAAAATCTCTGAAACCCAATAAATTTATAAAATCAGACGGAAAAAGAAAAAAAAAAGATTCTTTAATGTTCTGACAGAAGCTACAATTTTTTTAAACTTCTGGAGATAAAAACAAAAACAAAATAAAAACAAAAAAACAAATTTGACAATTTATAATGGTAACATGCAAATGAAGATAAACTTGCCGGTGCACAACACAAGGTTTTAGCTCGCCATCGATCATTTTTTCTTCATGTAGGAAAGACAACCCTCTCAACATTGAAGCTATTACTTTCAACGATTCTTGTAGGGTCAAAATGCGAAACTGAAAAATAGTGAAGTGAAAAAACGTTCACAAATTTCAAGCAATTGGATGGCAAAAATTCCTTATAAAAAAAAAAACAAAGATTAAAATAAGGAAGCTAAATGCTATATTAAAAAATCCAAATAACTTTTAAACAGCGACTGAAATATGACCATTAAGCATAACAAATTTATAGAAGTTATCCAACTGAGAACTAAAATAATGAAATCTAATAAAAATATAGGATTAAAGAAATATTAAAAAATCCAGCTTACATGAAGAAAGTCGAACAGTGAACCGTTATCGTGGAATTCTGTAATCAGCCAGAAATCATTTCCATGAACTTCTGCACCCAAATACCGCAATATATTTTTATGTCTTCGAAGAGAAGATATAGCGTAAATTTCCTGCAAGACAATTGGAGATAAAATTTCAGCAAAAAGATTTAAGTTAAGGTCTCTTTTTTACTTTTGTTTAGCATTAATTTCAATTTTTGAGAAGAAAAGATTTTACAGTGTTTCAAAGAATAACATAAAAAAGAAGAGAGAATAAGACACTCGAACCTGTTCAACGATCCAACTATTTACATCAACAGATGGAAAAACTTTTACTGCAACAGTTTCATTCTCCAGCACACCACGAAATACTTGACCAAATCGACCGCGAGCCACCAACTGCATACGATATACAGTTAGATTAGAACAGGAAAAACTTTTTCATACTAGCACTCAAAGTAAGAAATCCCGAAGAAACCCTTTCGTCTCATCATCTTTCTTCACTAACAACTACTGGTAGAGTTTAAGAACATCTATATACGTAATAATCTTAATTAGCACATAAAGTATAAACAAATGACAGGATCTCTGTCCTGGAAAAGTTCTTATCTAAGAAATCAAGACTTACAGATACAATGCATCTAAAATAAAATTTCTCTGCTATTATAACCTGAGATACCTTGAGTACACAAAATATTAATCACACCCATTCAGTACATCAGTCTTCATTAGATAAGAGACAATTGAAAGTGCTTAAACAAAATAAGAAAGAAAACACACCTCAAGATTAGTAATATTTTTTAGGTTATCATCTTTTCTGGCTCCAATCAAAGGCAGTTTCGCATCACCAACGATGGGCATTGAAAATGCATCGGCAGCCTGAAGCAAAAAACAAATAATTTGAGCAAGCAATAGTTTTTGTTCAATATACTCAATATACTCCAATACAATGCTTAGTTAACATTAAAACAGAAATAAAAAAAAAATGAAGCATAGTTAATTACAACCTTCTCTTTATAATGTCGACTGTTTCTGTATTCTCGATAACTGTAGTAGCAAAATAAAGCCAGCGCACAAATAGAAAAAAAGCCAAGAATGATAATAGCGAACATTCTGCTTCCTGCACCAAAGAATGATGGATCTTCTATTTCCATTGGCTCTACAGTAGTTGGTGATGCTAAAACAAACTTCCTTTTTCAAATCATTTATACTTTCCTTTTTCCTCCTTTTTTATCATTTCTTATTATTTTTTATTGTCTACATTTTTTTTCCCCAAAACTCTGATTAATAAACGGATCAATAGAAGTGGTGTTTCCTGAAAGAGAAAAATTGTTATTTCAAGATCAAATAATCGAAATCCTCCCCTCCCTTCCTTCCCCATCCACAAGCAGTTGAACAGATCAAATATGACGAGAAAGACTAAAATATGCATTTTAAATAACATATTGAAATGATCAAATACAAATGTAATGAATTTGAATTCCCTACAACTATCCACTCCCCTGTAACATTATATCATACATTATTTATGACAACACCGTAATCCGGAAGTAATAAACAACTTGAACAAAATATATTGCGACGGTTGTAAAATATTCATTCAAATATAAAAAATTGGAAAATATCATTTGATTACCTATATAATTTAATGTCTCCACATTAAATGGTATGTAATAATAAGTAAACTTACAAGTGGCTACGCGTTGTGGAGGAAATTGCACACGTCGATTACAATAGTGAGTGCTGCAACAACAGAACAATGCAGCGTTACCATGTCCAGTCGGTCGTTCGTCAGCAATACATTGGCTATTGTCGCAGTTACCCAAATTACCATCATGCATCCAACACCCTTTCAAAGTTACCTGCTATAAAAAAAAGTAATTTATATTTATTATTTATATGGTTAAAAATTTAATTAGCAATTTGAAGTTTTAAACATTTACTGTTATCATTAAATTTCTATGTTTTCATTGAAGCAATAAAAGTTCCAAAACATTAAAAAATTTCTCTTTGAATTTCAAAGATAAATGGAACAAATGTAAAATAAAAAATATATAAGAAAATTTCCTGAGATAAGAAAAAAAATGAATACAAAAGTTACCCGTGTTAACGAGTTATTTACCAAAGCAGCCATGCAACCTAAGCGATGATCGTTTACAGAAGCATAACACATTTTCACAGTTGGACAACTCCGTTCCATTGGATCACACGAACTAACATCATAAAACTGGAAACTTCTTTGTGGAGCATTTTTTTTTAAAATACATTTCTGCCAAATGGTTGTATGTAAACTACATCATAATGGACTGAAATTTCATGAAAACACCTACTGGAAAATAAAAAACAGAGAAACCTAACAAAATTAAATTGTTGCTATAGAATTAATAGTTGTTTTTGCACATGTTTAAAACTTACATCACAGTAAATGAATGGGCGAGATTTATTGTCTAGATTATAATTAAGGCCTTCAATGCCATGCTTCTTCAGAAAAACCGGTTTCGCTGGAAGTTTTATTCCTGCTCCACCAGATGAATCTTTCAACTGTAAATAATAAACATCATAAATGAAAATAGTCTGTGAAATAACTTATCCGATTACTGCTGGAAATAACTACCAAATAAAACATTACAATAACTTCAAATCAATTTCAACCTTAAGGACTGTATTTAGCAGCCATGATTTTGAGGAAGTCAAATGTCATAATCATAGGACAATGCCAGCATAGACGACGAAAAATATGACCTTAAGTATGCTATTCACTGATAGTGAACATACGGTCAATATGTTGTTAAGAATACACGATAGTATCATGAAAGCCCATTACTTACGCAGAAGCTAGTAGTCGTTTTGATTTGAACCCAATCAATTACACCTATTAAGCAATCATTTTGCAAAATTAGAAAAAAAAAAAGCAAAACTTACATTGATTGTATCATCATTAAGAATATCACCAAGAGAATTATGTTTCAGTGCAGTAAAACAATGGGTGGAAATCAGTAAGGAGGAAGCAATAAATATGACAGTAAACATCATTTTACCATCATTTTCGTTTTTTATTGCCATCTGAAATTAGATAATACAAATTATAACTGCAAAATGAGGAAGCAATAAGCATGTCATTTCTTGACTTTTGCAAGTTTGCATCACACGACATAGGCGTGAGTCAAGAATCGAATTTGGTAAATGAATCATAAGCAATTTGGTGAATGAATCATAAGCATCCGATCATTTTGTATAATGCATTTTTTAATAATGACATGAATGTTGGAAAAAGCATTTTGCATGAACATTCTTATGGAAACTTATGATACCTCATCAAATCATACCATTAAATCCATCGAAATAAATGTGTCGCAAGAATCTAAAATATTGTAAATATGAAAAAAAAAAAACCCATAAAATAACGAAAAGTTTCGATAAAAGGAACAAAGTTTAGGAAAAAAAAATGCTAAAAGACAAGCAAAAAAGACAAGAAAATAAACATCTTTTACACGTCTAATCAAACTTTATCAAAATCAATAGCAACACTCTTCCTATCACTTTAGTTCACATAAATTATAAAATTTATTTGTAACCAAACTATATTTTAATACTAGCAGAAATACTAGAACCAATCATAAAATATAGTTATCAATCTGAATGGTTTGTTACGAAATTAAAAATTAAGTTAGAACGAACATTTGTCTATCTCTTCCCTTTTTGATAAATTATGTATCGATTTACCCTTAAATACTACACTGCATATCATGTACTACGAGCAAACTATTTCAAATAAATTGATCATTTTATTTGCTTTTAGTGTGAAGAGTGAGCTGCAATTCAGCAACACTATTTTGCTCAGATCGAGAAGTATAAAAATTGAATGTTCCAATGTTTAATTTGATCCTCTAGAAGTGATTAGATATCCTACTAATAAATATAGAAAACTTTTCTTTTTAACATAAGAACGTGCTTTGTTAAAAAAAAAAAAAGAAACTAACAAAAGATAGCAAAATGAAAAGAAATTATTTAAATGTTGTAAAGAAAAAAGTACAATGACTAACCTAAAAAACGAAAAGTTACAAATGATAAGTAATAAGTTACAACTTTCCATATCTAAACAGGTAAATGGGTAGGCAATAGCTATAGCAAAAGTGCACATTTTATGAACTTAGACATTCCACCACTGGGTGTATATAACCGGAATTAAACACAAACGCATATATAAACATACATCAGAAATGAAAGAATGCACAACAAATAACCAGAAACTAATCCTAATACACTTTCTTTTTTCATCAAAAAATTGAGAATAGAAAGTGTAAGAAAAATTATTTGTCGTCACGAATGAGGACATTAATTCTAAAACAGTGAATGATTAATATATTACACCGGAAACACCACCTGCCTTCTCCTGTCAGCACGTTAGACAAATATCACAAAATCATTTTTTAATATAACATTTTTTTTATATTTCACTTGTCAGTTTTACATAAAATCCTAAAAGTTTCAAGACCAAAAACCAATAAATATATCATCACGCTAACAATGAAGCTATGATATCGTCTTTATCAATCATACTGCATGAATTCAATCAAAATACAGACGTACAAGTATAAATCAAAAAAAAGTGACATGCACATTTATGTATACAAAAATATAATAATAAATATGCTCTCATACATAAATTAATATAGGTACATGATTTTTTTTCCAAGCCAAAACTAATTTTAGGAAAGCAAAAATTATTTCAAGAAAATTATTTAATTATCATTCTTTTTAATTCTCTCATTGCATTTAATCAGTCAAAATTATTAAATGCAAAACATTTTTAATAGGCATTTGTTTTAATAAACAAAATTGCTAATCATGAAGTTTCATTTGCCGAGATATATCCTAAATTATTAGTTTAATTGTATGATAGGATATGATGGTACTGTGACTTCTATAGAAGATGAAGAGAATTTTAAAATTTAGAAAGTACAAAACGATTACTCCTGTTACATTCCCATTCAATGATATCGTTTGCAACATCTAGAATGCGACTTCTGTATAAGGAAGGAGAAGGAAAGAAGGGAGGCGAGTAAAAACTGATACGGAATAAAATCAACCGGATAGTATTATTTGCTGATTATAACAAAAAAAAAAAAATAAGACAATTTTGCGGAATAGGTTGCAGCGAGTGGTATAATGAGGGCACACACAGATAGGGAGCTCCAAGCTTGTTCCTTCCCGAAAATAAAACAAATGAAGGTTACTGGAAGCTTTTTGATCAATTTCAACACATATACATACATACACACATACATACATATATACATACATACACACATACGTACATATATACATACACACACACACATACATATATACACATACATACATACACACATACATCTAATACATTACATGCAACTAGGCATATACTAACCGGAAACAAATCAGTTCCTGTCTTTTTCAGTACAAATAGGTAAAGCGATCATCTACTGCTATTTGCTTAGAAAAAATCTTTATTTTAACCATTAGCTCTTCTCAAAAATACAAAAATTTAAGAATGTAAAGAACACAAAACAAAATAAACAATAACAATATCGATATTACTAACCTGCGGAATTATTTATATCGAGATTATCTCGCCTGTTAAACACTCGTTTTAAGGCTTAATCATTCTCGTGAATTAAATGTGATAAAATCGTGAATAAAATTAAATAAATCCAAAATCTTCCCATTGAATAAAAAGAATGGCATCATTCTAAAAATAGTCGAGATTAAAGATGAAATGTAAGAAAAAGGCAATAACATTGAATGTGTACTGCAAACGTACTGGAAATTTAGCTAAGGTTTGTTTGAAAGGATAAACTTCGCTATTTTCACTAGTTGAAAATAAAATTATATACAAACCGTTAAATCGCACAGTTGCACAAATGCATTCTGTAAGAAGATAAACGTAACAGTAATTACTGAAGATGATAGTACATGAAAACTTCACTTTCCTTTCTACCTCCTTGTTATCAAATGGCTTGAAGTACCTTCACCAATTAAATTATTCAACAAAATGGCGGCTTACTTTACATGGATTACTTGATTTCGACTTTTTTTCATTAGTAATTAGTTGATTATTATGAATGTTTAGTGAATGAATATTCAAATATAGTTTTTGTCATAATATTATTGACAGTACAACCATCCAACCAATTCGATACCTGAAATGAAGAAATAAAACTAACAAATAAACATTAATTTTTCGTTCATTCCATTCCAACGATAATGTTTCATATTTCACACATTTCATGTCAAACTATTTTAAGAAAGTTTTCGAGAAAGAAAAAAAAAATTTCATTTCAAAAAATTTTAACCAATGAGGATTTTAACAGAGAAAAATGTTAAAAATTGTCAATAATTCAAACTTTTCCACATGCACATCTACGTCACTTTCTTGTTATTATTTCACGTTACTTACAGCAACACTGTCAATTTAGCAACTGCAAAACGAATGAATTTCTCTTCCACAAACAACAAAGTTAACACTTTGCAGAACTATTATTGTAACATATATACTCATAGATCCAAAATAGATTTTTTTTTTCACGTTACTTACTTACAGTTCACGTTCACGTTACTTACTTACAGTTCACGTTCACGTTACTTACAGCAACACTGTCAATTTAGCAACTGCAAAACGAAAAGATCCAAAATAATAATAATAAAATAGGAAAATAAAATAAAATAAAATCTAGAAATTAGCCTATAATGAGAAGAAAATTACAACCTAATCCTATCATCAGTATCATTAGTTGACATTATGATGAATGTATGTATGTGTGTATGTGTGTGTGTGTATGTCTGTATGTTTTATGATGACATCTAATGATACAGCAACAAATAAAGATATAATTAACATTTTTCAAAAGAGTAAACTATTAAAGGATAAAAATGAATTATTTCATTGTTTATTATTAGATCATAAAAGAAAAACGATCGATGAGGAAAAGAATTTATAGCTTATTATACCTCAATAAATTAAGGAAATGAACTGAACTGATAATGATAAGCACAACTGATAAGCAAAACTAATATTTCAGAGTAGCATTTCTTCACCTTATGCAAAACAATATAATTAAATAAAGTCAAACAATTACGAGAAGAAAAAGAAGAAAGAAAAGTGACAGAAGTGATTAAGTATGAGAGAAGAGGATGAGATAAATGATAAGTGATGAAAAAATAGTGATGGCAAGTGATTAGAAGTGATGATAACATTAAAATAATCAAGAATTTACTGATAAGATGAAGCAAAGAAAAAAAAAGAAAGGAAAGACAAAAGTAATTATTGCAAGTAAAGCTATTGATAAAGAAGTGTTAAAGTAAGAGTGCAATAATCGAAAGTGATAAGATAATTGATAAGCAAGGAAAGGAGAAAGAAAGAGGAAACGAATGAAATGTTAGTTGAAATAGGTAAGATTGTCACAAATGCAATGACACTAATATGAACAGAGGAAGTTCAAGAATAAAAAGCTTACTAACCTCCTCTCTCTCCTCTCTTTCTCCTCCTCTCTCTCTTCTCTCTCTCCTCCTCTCTCTCCTCTCTCTCCTCCCTTTGACTCTCCCTCAATCTCATTCATTTCATTTCATTTCACTTCACCAAAAATCAATATCTAGTTTTGTCATACACATCACATCATATCATGTCACACACATACACACACATACACACACACACACACACACACACACACACACACACACACACATACACACACACACACACACACACACACACACACACACACATACACACATACACATACTCACATACATACATCATCATATCACTTCTGCCTGTCTCTCTCTCTCTCTCTTTCAAAGAGAAATTTCATTTCAACAACTGTTAAACTAACTGCTTACTAAACAATTTATCAGAATGGATGACGTCACCCATCTGAATGACTCATACTCTCATATTGCCATCATATTCCTTTCATCTAAACTAAACTCATTTAATCCATTTAACAATGATTGATAATTTGTTGACCTTTGGTCATCACAAAAACAAACAAACAAACAAACAACGATCGTTTATTATCGAT